AAAACATAAAGATGACTTGTCGATTTTTTCCTAAAAAGCACATTTGACCAACCCTCTGCTCACTGGTTTTGTTGTCTGGCTCAGTGAACTTTTGATCCTCCTCTTGCACATAAAAAGACACGTTTAATTTTATACACAAAAAATGGACAGCTATACAAATTAAGCTAAGCTTGTGGGATACCTTCTCAGTTTTGAAGAATCTCTTTCCTGAGCAAGATCACTGAAAACCTGTTGGGAATATTTGGTAGTACCCGTGAAAACTGTGCTCTGCAGCCCACGAAGGCTGTGGAAGGACCCAAGGGAAGGGAGATTGACGTGTCTTTAAAAACGGTTTTGGACCTTTTTCTCAGAACTGATCAGAAACAGAAAATGGTCTGCTGTATGAAGTGAATTCCCGTTACAGTTCATCCACAAGAAGTGTGTTTTTCCTGGAAAAAGCTGTGAAGCAGCTGGCAGATGAAGCAACTGTTCAGCTTTCTAAGAGTGGAGCCACCTCTCCACTCAGCCTTGCAGAAAGAGTAGTACAAGGGCTTGGCCAGCAATAAGAGCAGCTTTTTCACCAATTGCTTTCCCAGATACTTTCTTTTTGACAAAATTCAGAACATTTCCCTATTTCTGTAGATTAAAACAAACAAACAAAAAAATAAACTAAATTTTCTGTCACAAATTTATCTAGTGTGGAGAACGGATAAGAATGCATGAAGATAAATATTTACCCACCTTGAGCTATAACCCATGATTTTTGATAATTTGAATGTGAAATCTTTGCAACATCTTGCAAAGAAAGGGATTTATTGCTATTGATTCTGCTTGTGACAATTATGAAGAACATGCCACCTTGAGTGTATAAAAATTTCCCCTCAGTGGTTGTCCTGAAAAAAATGCAGCCTCCTACACATTCTGAAACTCTGAAAGTTAACTGAGAAAGAGGGGGAAAAATCCCAAGGATTTTACATAATGATTCAATTGAAATTGTGGTGATGCTGAGGCAATTGTAGCAAGAGGTCAAGATACACAAGAACACAAAGAGCAGAAACTTCAGTTCTGTGACAGAGCCACGTTCAGCTATTGAATTAAGGAGGTAAACAGAAACAAAGTAAAAAAAAGAGTTTTCCAATGAGATTCTACCTCAGCTTGCAGGATAACCTGTTACAGTAACAGCAGCCCTGCCTCATAGCTCAGTTTGGCACCAGGACCAACCAAGGTGTGCGTGTGAGAAAGCTGGTTCTGGTGGTTGGGTCCTTTCTCAGTCTTAATCTTTACATGCTTCTAAGAGCAAAAGGCAGCCTGAAGGAGATGCCTAATGATACTTGGAAGCCTTTTTTTTTAGAAAATATCCTCCCTTTCTGGCCACCTAGACACGAGCACATGCAGCACAGCTCTTGGCACCCCTGAATTTGAGGGCACGTTCTACCACACGTGTCCTCTGTGCAATTTTCACGCAGTCATCATGACTACTTAAATCAAACCCAACTGATGGCAGTGCTCAAACGCTGAGAAGCCCCACAGCGAAGCATCTTTACATTTGGGAAGTGTTAATGTGTGATACAAACATTTTGCCTTCCAAAGCCACCATAAGAGACCAGAATGCCAAAAGCAATTAGTATAACATGCACAGCAGCACACACAGACACACAGACAAGAGTATTCTCCAGTGTTCTTTTTTATGTGAGTGTAACCACTGTGCTGGGAGATCCCCCTTCCTCTTTGGGAATTTTCCCTGTCCCTGGCAGCAGGAGGTTGGGACTAGATGATCTTTAAGGTCCTTTCCAACCCAAACCATCCTATGATTCTATGAAACATACTGCTTTTTCAACTGAGAGAATATGCTGTGTAGGAACAATGAAAAAACAGTCTTTTTTTTTTTAGCCAGAAGTTTAAAAATTATAATATATGCTTTAATGTTGGGGTTTTTTTTATGTCACAGGTGGGGGGCAGGGGGGAGAGCATGAGAAAGAGGGAAATACATATATTTTCAGGACAAGAGCTACACAAGTTCCACTAATGGACTCGTCCTGCCCAGCTCCATCCTGGCAGAGCTGAGTGGTCACCCACGGGAAGGAATAAACAAAGTAGTAAATTCCATACTACAGGAAATATCAGCTTAATGACTTATCCCTTTCCTCCAGGGGAGCTGGGGTGAGGGCAAATGCAAGCAACAAGCAACCTAAGGGCTGGAACAACTCCTCCAAAGATTAACATCAAGCAGCTGGTACCTTCCCTCCTGGGCTCCGTAAGAGCTTTGGCATTTGCTCCCATAAATGACCACTCTGCTGTGCAAATACATTAAAGCCAAAAGCAAGAGTTAGAAAATAAAACCCAATTCCGTGCAGTCCCTGCTGTGCAGCTGAGTTCAGTGTGGCCTTTGTAGAGATGGGGAAGAGAAAAGGACCCATAAAGCTAGAGAAAAGCTCCAATAAAAACCATGGAATGTTCAAGAAGAAGTAATAGTAATACTATTAGTATTAATAACAATATATAGAGAAAAAAACTTGCTTGCTGGACTGCTCTAAAACCCTACTCTCATATTCATTTGTGATACAACCACAAGACAAAGGGGACAAACAACGTCACACAGAACAAGCCTTGCTCTCTCCTCCATTCCCATGTTCCCAGCACAGAACCACGGCCTTGCCCTGTGCTCACACACTGCCAGCAAGACACAGTGCCTTGGACTGGCCCAGGATCTCCAGCTGTGCTACCTGGCAGAGGGGAGCAGGAGAAGGAATATGGGCACGACTTCTACTAATTATGGGGGATCCAGCTCCACATATGGGGTTTGGCATTGACAAGTAAACAGGGGAAAGTCATGAGTACAACCTATTTTCACAGGTTAGGTTGTAAAAAATCAGAAAAGAACTCTGAAGAAACATATGTAAGTAATGATGCAGAACCTGTGCTGCTTCTTCCATTAACAAAACAGCTAAATAATCAGGGCAGGGATAAAAAAATCTGCCTTGCATTGCAGGGTTAAGCAATACCTCTGGAGTTACAAATCATATTACAGCCATTTCAAGTAGTGATGCATGAACCTGAATTCTTGCAGAGGTCGCATTTAGTCATCTGCCAAAATCCCCTTTGCATCAGCACCACAAGTCAGTGGTCAAATCTTCCACTTCCTGCTTCCTCAAAGTGGATCCCAAGTGTTCCCCAGCCCCCGTTCCCTCCGGAGGCAGGGACAGGCAGGAGTGGGGGTTTACACTGGGTGGGCAGTGGCACTGGCACCAGAACGCAGGGAATCGACCACTGTCATTATGTACAGAGAAAAAGACATTTTTTTTTGTCTCAGGGTCTTTATTATTTTCTGGTGCTGAAATACAATGCCCCTTTTCACCCGGAGAATAATTGACAAATGTATTATTTCCCCATCCGCTGCCTCAGAGCTGGAATGAGTTAAAGTAGGCCCGAAATAAATCCTCTCAAGCCTGTTATGACCTGCTATTTTTACTGTTAAATTTCAAGTGATTAACGTGCCTGGTACTTAAAGGCAAATGATGAGCAAAACACTGTTTGTTTGCCCAGTAGCAAACACCTTAAACACAGACACACGGGAAAGCAGCACAGCCTCTGTGGCTGCCTACTCTGCCTGGCACATGTAAAAGCAAATATTCACAGTATAAACAGACAAATGCACTGTAATTCCCATTGGAAGATGCATCTACAACCTACCTGAGCGGCTCATCTTTCCCCACCAGAAGTTTTCTTTTTGCTATAATATTAGTGATGTTTAATAATTAGGGACAGCTAGAGTCTTTCTTTAAAGAAAAAAAAACCCAACCTCCTAGAATACAAACATGTTGTTTAACAATAAGCCCAAAGTTAAATAAACAAAACAACAAACAATTTAAATTAAAAGCAACTTTTCTGCCTGACACTGATCAGACAAAATATCACACTTAGCAGCTTAGGAGAGATCTTCAGTAATGTGACAGAAATGTTCCTGCAGAGTGAACTAAGGAGACTGATGACAACTTGGGTTTTGTCTGTACCATTATGTACCACCTTCTTTTTCTTTCTTTTTGCAAGAGAATTGAATCTGAACACTAACATTTTGTGGCACACCTTTGCAAAGGAATGGGAAGAGCTTCTCCACTGTATTGTCAGAATTTACAAAGGCTGCATCAAGCTAAGAGCCTTTAGACTGCAATTCAAAACAGAGGCAGAGGCAAGAAGGAATTTTAACCAACCAGACCTTAACAGCACAGGTGCCTCCTCTGCCCCACCACATGGGTCTTGCTAATCCACTCCCATGACACGGGAAGGTTTTTCCACTGGAAAACAGGATCCAGCCCTGAGTGGCTGGAGCAGAAAAGCACACGCAGTGTGTTCTCACATGACCTGCCACAGCTTGTGGGAATCACTGGGTGCACCAGAGCATGAAGAGTGACTGAAATCTTTAATGTGCACATTGCTGCTGCTTGGCTTTTCTGGGCTTCAGAAAATGGGTGAGAAATGCCTCTGACCTGAGGCACCTGAGTGCTGCTATCACAGATGCCACAAATATTATGATGCTACATCTGAGGGGAAAAAAATTAAAAAAAAACCACCATATTTTTCCACAGTTGTTAGTTTATGCTCCTGGTTTCAGATGAAACTTCTATTTCTGCCCATACCACCTTGGCTGATATTGAAAAGTATCTTTTCTCACATGTCACATTCTTAACAGGCAAAATATCCCTCAGGGTTTATTGGGAATTAATTAGGTTGCCAAATGTTTTAGGATTGCTGTAAAGTACAGGTGGAAATATAAATAGATTAAAACACAAGAACAACGTTTGCTCACTCAGGCTTTCAGCACACACCAAGGGCAACAAAGTTCTAAAAAAGAGAGTAGAGGAAAAGGAAAAAACAAACAGGCCTTGATGAGCTGCCAGTCAAAAAATGGCCTCATTAACACTGACCATGAAGAAATCCCCCATGAACCTGGATCCCTTCTGCTTCCCCACAGCAGCAGTAGAGCAGAGACAGCCCATCTCCCCTCACAGTGACCCCCAGGTTACCTGTGTCGTCAAATATGATGGGCTGGCAGTTCCTGTTGGAGTTCCAGTTACATTTGAGCACCTGCCCTCCTTCCACGATGTTCTGCTGGGTGGTGTTTGCCTTCGGAGCTCCCACCAGAAGATACGTCCTGCAGTAAAAAGACAAAATAAAACGAAAGTTTAGACAACTAAGGCACTGGTGTTATCACTTTATGACATCTGAAGAGTTAATACAGCAAAAGCCTTGCCCACTCAAATATAAATCTGAGTAGAACTACTCTGAGTTTCAGAGAAATTCATGGGAGGTCTTGGGTCCTTAAGCAGGCAAAAAAACCCCCAGAAACCTTTACCATAAAGAAGAGACAAAGAAGATAGAGAAGAAGAAGACAAAGAAGATAGATCCTACTACTTAAAACTATACCTAAAATTAAATAAAAACCTTTTATATTCTTTTTTTTTCTTTAAAAAACCCCCTGTGTATGCAGCGGAACAGGAAACCATGTACTTCTGTAATTTACCAAAGTCATCAGTTGACATAATTTCTGGTTAATTTTGTGTGTAAGGGTAGTTCGAGGAAGTCAGTCAAAAATGGAAGCGATGTATAAACAAAGCAGGAGCGCACTCTGAGCTCAGCATGTCCCGAACGTGATGAGTCAGCCTCCTGCGAGAGAGTGCTCTGGTAAAAACAATCCCCGAGCGACCGTCAGCCGCAGATTTGTATGTTAATGAGTCGTTACCGAAATTCATTACGCAGTCATCGTTTTCTTATTAGGATCCGCTGTGCTTTCCTACATCTCTGCTTGCACAGGCGGGTTCAGCCCACCCTGAGCGGGAACTGCGCCTGCACAGGTGGCAAAATTCAGAAGTTGCAAAGCAAGAAACGGATCAAACGAGGTTCTTGGTGTCTTCCAAAATCTTCCAGGAACCTCAGGACGTCTGAGACGCACTTCACTCATCAGCACTTACTTGAGGAAGTCACTTTGAAGCATAAAGAAGACATAAAATCAAATGCTTCCTTTCCTCAGAATCTGTCTGCTCCTTGCTTCCCCTTAGAGCTTCCAAGAGCAAGTCTTATCAGGCACTATGGTTCTTTAGTTTTGAAATTGGTTTAGCTGAACAAGCTGCAGGACTGGTTGGAGAGAATGTCTACAGGCAAGCAAATCCAGGCTTATCAAACTTGCTCTGGTTTCACAGTCATCCCCAGGCTTGGAGATGGAAAGAGCTCCAAGTTGTTTTTGGTACAGAGCTGAGTTTATGTTTCTTAACGTGTAAATACCAAGTATAAACGCGTAGCACCTCCTCAAAGCTCAATTCAGACAAAGACCAACACAAGCTACTGGTTTTCAACCTGCGTGAATTTTCAGAACCTTCAAAAATTTCCTGGTGTGGACCCTGATAGAAAATCCAGGCTCGTTGGCAAACCATTTGTTTTCCTTAGTTGCCATTCATAGACTGTCTAGATTTCAAGAACAGGAATTTAAAACGCTTCCATCAACTTATAATGTCCTCTCTGTGCTTAAAAATAAACATCATAATGCCAAGTAAAGAAAAACATCAATTACTATAATTACAATCCATTAAACAAGCTACCAAGCTTGCCTCCTGTTTTACTCTTGCACCACTACCTTCTCAGAAGTCCCCCAAATGAAATGTGTGTTTAAAGACTTAAATCTTTATCATTCTCATAGTACATTTTAAATTTTTCTTAAGATAATCTTTGTGATGAAGTTTATTAATAAGATTAAAACCACAGGAATCATTATGGGACACAACAAAGCTTTAGTCACCTCATTTCCCAAAGTAAAAAAAAACTCGTTTCTATCAGCATAGACCAAACAAGCAGATTTTGTCACTCCTGGAATAGGACTTCCATCCTGGACTTCTAAATATGCTTTAGTTTGGCGTCCAGCAGGTCAAAATAGACTATGAAACAGCAGTTTGAGCATTCAAGAACTAATAACATGTCTTTGTTGTCAGGCTAGTCAATCATTTGGTCAAGCTTTAGCTTGGCTAAACTGACTTGATCTCTCGCACTCATGTAAAGAACAAGGTGATAAAAATTCACCAAAGCAAAAAGAAAGGCATAGGAACCAACCAAGTGACACACATGATGCTCAACAAAACCCTGCATACAAGTATTTCTGGTTACTTCAGGAGGCAAAATATCAGTGTCAGCGGGAATAAACTCAAAATTGACCACCACTGGAGTCTGTTCCCGTAAAAGTTGCATAGCTACTTTGTTTCAACTAAGAGCTTAAATGTAAGATAAAGTGCTTAGCTTAGCAAGTACAAACATTCAGTGACAACAAAAAAGCTGAGGAGAAAATTCCCCTACAAATACGCAGGAGTCTACCATGCTGCCTGAAAACCACACTGTTCTCTTTTACAGCAGTGCATTTTAAGGTCAATAGTTCTTATAAAAATAATGGAAAGCTTCCAAATAATGATTTCATGGAGACCTGAGTCACATAATTCCTTATCAGAAAGCAAGTAAGAAAGTTTATTACAGGCATTTACCAGTCTCTTGATAACTCTGCAGCCACACATACTGACTTAAAAATACAGGGAGGGACAAAAATAGAACCTTTTTTCTTTTAGTACAAAGACTTACAGGGTTAAGATAGCACAGAAAGATGGTGCAACGCGTGCAAGTTAAGACAGGACGGCTTCTAATATATGTAGGCATTAATGAAATGCAAACAAGGCTAGACGATGTACTGCAAAAAGACTTGCTCAATACTTATATACTTGTTTATGAGCTAAAGATTAAGAGGGAGAGAGAGAATACCCCCTCAGTACGACAAAAGCCAGCAGCTTTTCCAGTTTTACAGCACTTTCATAAGATGGGAAGGGAGTGTGTGTGTGGGGAAAGTGGCAAAATCTGGATGTTACTGCAGCCCCGCACTTGAGAACCACAGCCTGATTCATTCTGGCAACACGAGGATTCAAAGGTCTGAAACGCACCAGCTACTACACACTGCCTAATCTTAACATGAAACGGGAACATACGGAGGAAGCAGATGTGGAAGGTGCTTACATGGAACTTTTCCTTCCCCTTGCTGCCTCCTCAGCAGGTCAGTGACCCGCACAGACACCGCACAACCCAAACTCGGCACCACCGCAAAGCGGCAGAACTCCTGAAATGCCACCTCAGGAAGCAAAATCTCATACCTTCACCTTCCTACACTGTATTTACCACTACCACCATCTGCATGAGACCAGGCTACGCAGCGAATCCCATAGGGCCGAAGCCCGGGACTGGGTCTGGCTCCCCGGGAAGGGGGTCTGGGCATCCAGAGCCGCCCTGGGGAGGGAGGGATGCGGACCGGTCCCTGCTGGGCACGGCCGGGGACGGGCACGGCTCCACCCGAGCCCCCGGGGGGGGCCTGAGCAAAGCATCCCGGCGCTCCCGGCCCGGCTGGACCAGCGGCACCGGGGCTGCTCCGGCCGCCGCATCGCCCTGCCCACCCTCCGCCAGGACGACACCGCCCCGGCTCCAGCGCCGCCGGAGCGGCTCGGCGGGGGCAGGAGCGGGACGGGCACTTACGAAGACGGGTCGGGAGCGAAGAAGTCCACGGCGAAGCCGAAGTAGCTGCCCGCCGGGCCCGAGTAGACGGCCGGGCGCTCCACGTCCAGGTTGAAGGCACCGGCCGGGCGCAGCGCGGCTCCCAGCAGGACCAGCAGGACCGGCATCGCCTCCAGCCGGAGCAGCATCGCCCCCCGCCGCGCCATGGCCCGGCCCCGCTGCTCCGGGCGCGGCTCGGACGGGACGGGACGGGACGCGCCAGCCCCGGGCCGAGGGGGCGGAGGGGCCGCGTTTCCCGCGGCGGGGCGGGGACGGGAGGGAGCGCAGCCACTTCCCCTTTCGGCTCGGGACGGGCCGGCAGGAAGGAGAGGCGGCATCATGTGGTGCCGGGGGCGGGCCCTGCTCCGCTCCGCGCCCGGGCCGCCGCTCCTTCCGCCGGGAGCGCGGGGGGGCACGGCCCTGCCGCACCGGGATGGGGCCGGAGCAGAAGGCTGGGAGAACTCCAGGAAATTCTTCCCTGAGGCGCTGGCACGGGTCGCCCAGAGAAGCTGTGGATGCCCCATCCCCGGCAGTGCTCAAGGCCAGGTTGGATGGGGCTCTGAGCAACCTGGCCCAGTGGAAGCTGTCCCTGCCCACGGCACGGGGGGGGTGGAAATAGAAGATCTTTAAAGTCCCCCCTTCCAACCCAGACCATTCTGTGAGTCTGTAAGCAGAGCTAGAAATAAGAAGAGTGGGACACATCCGTGCCTGGTCTCACTAAGTCTGGTAAAGCCTTTCTGAACAAGGCTGGGAGAGGGTCTTTAAGGAAAGCTGTTAACACAAGGAAAGAGTGAGGGAAGGGCCAGTGCGGACCCAGCCATGGAGGAAAAAAAAAAAACCTAAAAACATATTTTCAAACACAAAGGCTATTAAATGATTTTAAATCCCAGGGGCAGAGCTCCTCCTCAGCAACAGGGATGCCCAGCAGCAGGTGCAGAGCTGGGAAGAGCTGAGTCTGTAAATCCTCCCCAGTGGAGATCTTGGCTCCTGTTCCTACCCACCTGGGGAAGCAGCATCCGGTGCAGCCTCAGTCTCTGCAGTCACAGTTTGTGGCCCTCGGATCATCTGCCACTAATAATGTTCCAGCACTATCAGCAAAGCTCAGGCAGCTGGAGGCTGCTATCAAACCCAGCATCAGCCAACACAGTCAAACATGTGCTCAGCACAGCAGTGTTTCAGGTAAGAAAACCCATGCTGGAACACCTATAAAGTGGAAACAGTTCATATTAATTCAGAATATTAATTTGTATACCCTAACAGGACTGTAGTTTAATGATCTTTCCCCTATTGCCACAAAAAGTCTTAACTTTTAGGTTTCCTTTTTTTTTCATGGGAGCACGATAAAAAGTAAAAATAAATAATGATGTTTCGAGCCCTAAATAAAAATTTAAAATATCCCATACATATTTACCAAGGGATAGACTCAGTGTTACGGTTACGGAGTCCTGAAAGAAAAACATTTATGGAATAAGCACAAGAAAACCCACAGAGTGATCCAAGAAAACAGACTCAGAAAACATATCAGGTTGTAGAAAGTCTGTGCTGAGGCCTCTAATAGAAAGGATTAATTGTAGCACAATAGCTGCAAAAAGAAGGTGAAAACTCTATCCTAGGGGGTTTGTGTAAAGAATGGAAGTTACACCAGTTAGAAAGACTTCCTAAAATACTGGTATAACTCCCCCACACTCTTCGGATACGGATATGGGTACCACTGGTGAAGTTTAGGACTGAGATTCTAAAGAGATCATTTTACTTTTAAATCTGTTAAATTGGCTGTAAGTGGACTTTTACAGGCTCAGTTCTAAAAAGATCAGATGCATCAGGCAGAGCCAAAGAGATTCAGAGTGAGTGAAATTAGAAGCCACTTACTGAGAATGCTTTCAATGGAGAACAATCACCATGGCAGAAAATAATTAAAATGATCAGGAATAATGGCAGGCCACTTAATACAGTCAGAAGAAAGATGTTTGTTACAGAACTGCTAGTTAACCTACCAAAGAGACAGGATTTAGTAATCATTGAGTATTCCTGAAGTTGTGATGGAATTGGGTTAATTCAGCATAGACAAAAGCAGTACATTAAAACTTTCAACTGTGTGCATTAACACTGTCTTTTCATTAATTATTCCCTAGAAGAACCCAAGGACTTAACAGAAAAAAACCACAAAGGAGGACATCTCAGAAGCAGGTTCCTGTTTTCCTTCAGAGTGGAAATTCACAGTCACTGCTGTCTGCCTGCTTTTCTTCCTCTTTAGTGATGGCCAGCAGCCTACATTCACGAAGCCATGGTGGGTGGGCTCACAAGAAAAAAAATATGTCATGTATAAAGGTTCCAAGTGCAAGCACTGAACACTGATATTGGGTGATCTCTTCAGTTTCTCACTAAACAAAAAGAGAAAATAGCTTTAATTTAAAAACTTCAATATTAGCACAAATGGTTTGTGTCAGAAGGGACTTTAAAGATGGGCAGGGACACCTTCCACCAGGTTGCTCTAATTGTTCTACTTTAATACAGTCAGATTTTATGTTAGCAATGAAAGCTAAATTAAGTAGTCTTGAAGCTGTCAGAAAACACAATTGTCTAAGAGACTGAGTCATGGCAACCTTTGAAAAGCTGGATGTAAAATATGTATGCTGGATTGTACACTGTGGATTCTTGCCTGCTGCTACTTACCTGCTGGGTTATTTTTAACAAGTTCATTCAGAAAAATTACCAACACAAGGGGAAAAATAAAAGGGCAGAAAGTGAGAGAAGATTTCATTGGAAAGAGGTTGTGAATTAAGGGGTTTCCACTTTAAAAATGCTTTATGTCTGATCTGGTTCCACCCATCTAGACAGACATGAGTCACCTTCATTCTCACACAACCCTGGGGCACTGTCCACTGGAAGAATATTTTAGACATATTTAATACATACATGAATACATATTTTCATATATTTACACTTCCAGAAAAGTATATTTCAAATGTAGGTTTTTAAGCAGCAATCTCATGATCTATTAAGGAAGAACTCCCAAACATTTTCATTTATTTGCTCCCACAGCTTCCCTGTCTGCAGAAAAGTCCGTCACAGCTTGGCAAACAGCAGCACACAGAAGAGAAATGGTTTGTTCAAGTAAATCCATGGCAGAGCCACCAAACCCCCCCAGGTAATCCTGTGTTCCAGTCACTTGTTCTTCCTATTAATTGATAATAATTCCTTCAGGAAGCCAACTCAAAAATAATTTATTATCAAGATATGGGGGAGAGTTCCTATACCTAGACTTGATACTTGTTACTAATTTTCATTACTTTGTGGCCTCCTTATTGGTACAAAAAGAAACATTACCAAAGACTAACTTTTATTTACTAACTTTTCCCACAGCTTTTGCACTACAGACCTGATCGAAGCATATGAGTTAATAAGTTCCCAAACTCTAGCAAATAGGGCAATAAAAGAGAAAAGAAAAGAGGGGTTTATGAGTACCTTGAGAAAGTAGCTTAGGGAAAGGGAGGATTTATTTGCTCTACTTGATTGTATAACTTCATAGCATTACACAAGCAGCAAAGGAGAAGGTTTTTTTAAGACATTAGAATTTTTTTTAAGACATTAGAATTTTTTTTAAGACATTAGAATTTTTTTAAGACATTAGAATTTTTTTTAAGACATTAGAATTTTTTTTAAGACATTAGAATTTTTTTACCATATGATAAATTTTGGCTTCCTAGGAACTGGCTGTGCAGCCCTACTGCTTGTTGCCAACAAATTGCTGAGACAGGCCAGAGGAGTAACTCAGCCTTAACTCAGAGTTTACACAGAGTCAGGGGTTACTCAGCCCTCGGGAAGTCTCTTTTCACACCATTTCCTCCCTTCCAGATGGCTCCTCCTTGGACAGCTGTTGGCTGCATATCTGGCTGCTCCCACCACTTCAGTTTTAATTCAGAGCCCAACCAGAGCCAAGCAGTGCAGACAGCTCCAGAGGGGAGCCACAGCTCCCTGGATGGCATTAAATTTTACCCCCCAGCCCCAACAGGGGAAAAAGGCTTTTTCCATATCCCAGGCTTGGGATACACTTCAAATTAAACCCAATCTATAAATCAAGTGAACATATTTTCTACTACAAGAGAAGCCAAGGGATTGATTCCATGGCCTGCATCGAGCTGCTCAGCCTGACACAATCATGGATAGAGCCAAAAAACACACTTAGGTGTTAACACAGAGCAAGAAACACCCCTCTAGTGAGGATGGGAGTTCTCTTTCCTGGCTGGTTCAGCTCTCAGCATGACTAACAAACAGATAAGCAACAGCCACCGAGATCATATCACAGAATGTAAACACGTGAATTACACGCTTCCATATTTACTCTCCTGTTACCTGTTTCTGACTGACAAGCTGAGATACTCAGTGCTGAAAATCAACCACTAAGAAGTGGGCAGGACTGGGATTCCTTCTAAGACACCAAAATCTTTGTCTGTATTCAGTGTTAAACACAATTATTTTGGAATTCTTTGGCATCCAAAGAACTGCTTTCCATTATTCAACAGATGAAACTAATATTTATGTTACAACTTATTACTCTTGCTAATTTTTACTCAAACTCAAGGAATCGGTCTTGCTAGTTTTTAACTTGTACAATAAGTTATTAAGACAGCTGAATAAAATTTTGCAAGATGCAAAGCACCTTTTGGTATTATTTTTTTGCCTACTTTTTGCCTGAGTGTCCAGCATGTATTTTGAGTGTGCAACGTGGATCAGGTATTTCACAACATTTTCCTTTGCAATTATATCTCCTTCTCATGGCATTACACTCAACAGCAAGAAAGGGACAAAGTGCTACAATTCAGTAAAAATTGCACATGTGCAAACCACAGTGGTCCTACCTGAAAAGCCTCAGCAAGATGTCTTGTGTGTAAGCAATAAGCTTCAGCCTTTTTGCAGATCCAGTGCTCTACAGTCCTGGCAGGATGAATGTCTGGAGCACGGGAAGGATCACCACTGCTTTGTTCATCAGTACTGCTGTTACTCTCCCAGAAAAAGCTTCCACTGATGGGAGAGTTTCAGTAAATATTTTGCTCTCCTGCCACTCAGACGCTTGGATTTATGAGGAGGCTCGGCTGCTCTGAAGAGATCTTTCAAGAAATAACTCAGTTTCTAACAAGGCAGTAGAAAATAAGCCAGACCTA